GGGAAGTATTTTTATTCAAAAAAGCAAATTATTTTTTATTTGAGGTGGATGTAAAAATAAATACGGTAGTTGTATTAATATAATGACTACCGCATTATGGTACTTTAAGTATCGTAATGACCAGGCTAAGCATTACGGTACTTTGTACCATAATGACCATGCTCAGCATTACGGTACTTTAAATAATTATACACCGATTTATAAGTGAAAATTACAAAGGTCAATCAACCTGTTTTTATTTCCAAAATTCCCTCTCGGTCCGAGGACATCCTTGGACTGAAATTTATTTATTTAGTATTTTTGTTAGGATGGCACTACTTGGGGCATTGCTTTACTAAAGAAATAATTAAAAACAGAAATTTATTTAGTTATTTTTTATTTTATTTTATTTATTGGTATGGCACTGTCCAAGGGCATTGCCTTACTAATGAGAAAACTAAAAACAAATAAGTAAACTTCTGGCTGAGGATTCCATCCTTAGATTGATAAGTATTTTTTTTTAAAAAAATGGGTTGACCAACTTTTGTAATTTTTACTTACAAATGGAACATATTCTATTTTAGAAAACGTTTGAGGGTACATACGTAAATCACTTTAATAAAACTCTAAAAATAAATTGAAATTTCTCATGTAAAAAGACAAAAATAAGCCTTGACCTGCTTTACACAGTTGTTTGAACTTTGAAGTGATGTTTGACGTGACGAAACCCTTTCGCGGCTTGAGTACTAATCCGGTCCTAATAAACCGATATCCATATGCATATGAGGAAGGTGGATGCAGGAAATCTACGAAAAGTCTTATCAAAGGGAAAATAGACATTCATTTAAGGAAAAAGTTAAAAATGTACAATCACAGATGCACTTAAAAAATTTATCGAAAATATTGTTTTAATGTTGAAAAAACACTCTAATTGATCATCTCGACATCGAGATATATGAATATAAAAAATTAAAATTAAATTTGAGTCTAAAAAGCAGTGTATCTTATAACACATTATCTAGACCGTCCATTTTCAAGATTTTCATATATTTATAGATCTACTTAATTTTAAATACTTTTAAAATTTAAAATTTTCTAATTCAGTATGAAAATAGATTTTAAGATAATACTAAGAATTTTTGACAACAAAATTAAATATTATGATAAAATTTAAGGTCCGCCTTAATTGGATTGTTTTAGGTTGCAAGCTTATAGAAACCACACCCTTCATTTAAACTCTTTCATTTCTAATACATTGAATTAGTAACAACTGCATTATTGATAGAAAGAGGGAGAAAGAAAGCAGTCACTTCAATCCCAATGCATTTAAGATAGGGGAATGATTCGGTTGTGTATTAGTATAATGCAACCATTTTCAAAAATACATTTGTTTGACACAAATTTTTACATGTACAATCTTTTCATTTTGAAAAACAATCACAAAGTTTTTTGTTTGAAAAAATGTTCTAAAAAATTTTCATTCTAGCCCAATTAATATAAGCTGTCCATTTTATTGAGATGGTTAGATCTAGGTCTTAGAAGGAACTTTTTATTCCCAAAATGTTTATATAGCGTTATCATCGTTAGATTAATAGTATTAAAAATAAAAAAAATGATTTTAAATTTTTTAAGACCTAGATATTGAAATTCACAAAATGGATGGTCGAGATTCATTGTTGGATGGATACTAATTTTGATCATATCTAAGGTACAAATTGAATTTTTTTTTGTATGATTGATTATGAGGATGAAGAGAATGTCTACGCAAAATTTGGGAACATACATGCCAAAAATATGGTTTGATTGCATTATACTACTATACACCATTGCATAGATCATTTTCCTGATAATTGGATGAAGGAAGAGTACTTAATTTTGATACTAGATTTCATTAACACACACACAAAAAACAAAAAGAGAGCAAGTCCAGTAAAATAATGTAGAACAATGTTCAAATGGTCATCCATTCAAAGTACATTGCATTGTTTGAGGCGGTGACATGGGCAAATAAAGACGCTTTTGAATTTTGAGTAAGCTGAGCAAATTCATGGAATCATAATCGCAGAGCCTCAACTGTCTCTCATATATATATATATATTTAAAGAGAGAGGGAGAGGGGGAGACAGAGAGAACCCCAACTCATCCATGGCCTCAACCTCGTCCCTAGAAAACGTCCTCCAATCCACCGGAGAACCCACTGAGAAAAGCCGAGTGGCGAGAATCCGCCTTGCCGTCCCCGAGGATGTGCCCCACCTCCTGAAACTCATCCACCAAATGGCCGTTTTCGAGCACATGCCCCACCTCTTCCAAGCAACAGAGCACTCCCTCTCCTCAACTCTTTTCTCCTCTCCTCCATTTCAGGGAACCACAGTATTCATTCTTGAGATTTTCAGTGATTTTCCACAAAACCCATGTGACAAAAACCAGTTTTTCAAGCCAATTTTCAAGAAGCTGGTTTTCGATCCACCTGTTGAAGACGTAGAGGCCAAAACCTTTGCTTCCTCACAAAATGGAGATGGAGTGGTTGCTGGTTTCGTGCTGTTTGTTCAGAACTATTCGACATTTTTGGCGAAACCTGGGTTTTATATGGAGGATTTGTTTGTGAGAGAGTGTTACAGGAGGAGAGGGCTTGGAAGAATGTTAATGGAGAGTGTTGCAGGGCAAGCTGTTAAGATGGGGTTTGGGATAATGCAGTGGTGTGTTTTGGATTGGAATGTGAATGCAATCAAGTTTTATGAGGAGATGGGGGCTGAGGTTATGCAGCAGTGGAGCCTTTGCAGGTTGAGTGGAGAGGCTTTGGAAGCTTATAGGGGTAAGGGTGATGGTAATGTTGATGATGAGTCTGGTTAGACTATCTCTACAGTTTGGTCCGGTTTCTCCCGCTAGCGTATTTTCCCTCTCCACTTGTTGAGGGTTTTCTCTCTCTACGTTTATGGGTTGTCTCTCTCTAGCCCTAAGCTCCTTTCTTGTAGTCTCACTCTCTCTCTCTCTCTCTCGAAGTTGTGATCTCTCTTAGAATTATCTCTTTTAAGGAGGGCATGAATTGTTCGAATGTGCAATTTTGAGCTGGCTCGAGGCTTGTTTGAATAAAAAAGGGGTTATATACTATGCGAATATTTACCTATGTCACAAGAAGGTCCCAATCATTTTTAGTATTTAATGGTTGAAATATGTCATAATATTCAAAATGTTTTATTTTGAACATTGTGTTTAGTTAATGACATATCTCTAACCATCCTATTTTCAATCTGATAAAAAATAGTTATGATCTACATGCCTCCTTAATATTAGGTTTTTTCCGTTTCCCTTTAGCCATCTTTTTCTAGAGAAATCAACAAAGAGAGAATAGGGAAAAGAGAATAGACTACGAGCAATCTTGAAATAGTGGCATAATTTCATTCTTTTTCTCTATTTGAGTGGCAGAATGTTCTCGACAGAAGGAACGAGAAGAGAGTTGAAAAAATAAATAGCGTTTACAGATGAATTATTTAAAGGGAAAAGGTTATATAGAGCATAGGCTCTAAACCATCAAAGTAGAGGGGACCTCAAAAAGCTTACTGAAAGAGGTTGTTTTGATGCACAAATATCCTCAAATTGATCATCTCGACATCAAGATGCATAAATATGAGGAAAAAAATAGATTTCAAGTTTTAGAAATAAAGTATTTTGTAATGCATTTTTGGACCGTCAATTTTCAAGTTTTCATAGATCTATTGATCTACACTATTTTTGAAGCTTTAAAATTTTAAATAAAGATGAAAATATATTTTAAGGCTATCACAATGATTTTCAGTATTGAAACCACATTTCTCGACGCTATTTGAAAGTAGGTTTTAATATGATTGTTTAGAAGGCTCTATATAAACCGCACCCTTATTTTAAACAAGTTTTGTTCAAGGATACAATTTACTAATCAAAGTTACTAAATATATGAAATTGATTACATATTACTTTTTTTACGAATCATGAGAAAAAGAAATTGGAGCATAATAATGGTTACCGTTGTTCAAAAAAAAAAAAAGATGCATAAATTGGTTTTATTTTTTATTTTTATTTATTAATATTATTCATATGAAATTGGGACATCTATATATCTAAAAACTAAAACTGAGAGACCCATTAAAAAAAAGATGCGGTTTGTATAGAGCGCTTTAAACAATAAAAAAAGAGCCTACCTACAATAGCACCAAGAAATATGGTTTCACTACTGGAAATCTTTGTGATAGCCTTAAAATATATTTCCATATTTATTTATAAACTTTAAAGCTTCAAAAATAGTGTAGATTGATAGATCTATGAAAATTTGAAAATCTTGAAAATTGACGGTCTAAAAATGCCTTGCAAAATACACTATTTCCAAAACTTGAAATCTATTTTTTTCTCATGTCCATACATCTGGATGTCGAGATGATCAATTTCAAGATATTTAGGCATCAAAACAACCTCTTCTAGAGAAATTTTTTGGGTAGGCTTAAATTTGATTGTTTAGAGCGTGGGCTCTATATAAACTTTTCCTTTAAAAAAAAATTAAATAAAAATGTGTCAAAATACGCTGAAACATTTAAGGGTAATTTGGTCTTTCTTATTCAAAATATGTAATTTTTATATTTCTTTATATTCCGTGCAACCTATGAAAATAATCTACACTTCATTTTTGAGATAAAGAGAATTTGTAGGGAAAAATAAAATAAAGAACCAAATCAATTTATGGCCTTGTAACCTTCTCAGATTAAATTTCAGTGGTTGGAAGAGTCGTTATGCACCCTTGAAGCGTCAACATCATGACACTATATGTTTCCTTGGAACTAAAGCCCTTAGAAAGAGATAAATATTGTATTATTTTGCTTTAAAAAATTAGACAAACTAGGCAATACTTTTATGATATCAAATGAGAAATAACACTTTTTTTCATTTTTTTAAAAATTACTATGAAGAATTATTAACTATTCTACGAAGCAAAATATCAAAAATAATTAAACAATAATTAGTTGGTAAGTAGGATATGTGCTTGGTCAGTGATTGAAATTATCATTTTTGTCTTATCTCAACTACTTGGAGTTAGCTACATGAATCATGTTCCTCCATTCCACTCTATCAAGGGTCATACCCTCAATGAGACCATAACTCACAATATTTCTAATCATTACTTGCATCTATATCTTTTTGGGTCTTCATCTTGTCCTTTTGGCACTTTTTATTAAACTAAATCTTCCCACCTAACTGGTGAGGTTCCAAGTCAACGTGCCCATAAACAAACTACTTAAGTCTATTTTTCCTCATCTTATCGCCTATTGGAGACATCCTTAGGTTCCCATAGATGTATTTATTTTGAACTCTATCTTTTTTTGGCATGTGGCTCATCCATCTCAATATATTATCTCGGCGACACTCATTCTATGGATATATTGTTTTTTAACCCTCCTACATTCAAAACATGGTTGGTTATGCATTTGTCTAATAGAACTTTCCTTTCATTTTCACTAGTATGCGGTATTCATATAAGAGTCCTACAGCACATGCCCACTTCATCCACCCAGTTTTAATTCTATACTTCTTCAATCTCTTTGATATTGGCTCAAGATATAAAAATAATCTCTTTTAGATATTCTTGACCATTATTTTTAGTTTTTTTTTTATACTTCTATAATTACTAAATTTGCATTCTATATATTCTATTTTAGTTTGGCTAATTTTAAAATATTTATATTATAAAGGATGTCTCTAAAGTTCTAACTTTGTGTTGACACTATCGCTAATATCATCAATCGAAGCTATGTCATATGCAACAACATGCACCGCGCTACCCTATGCCTTGTATTTTAATGATAGCCAAAGGTGGAGTGAACTAGAGGGGACGTGTATTGGAGATTGCCACTACCCAATAAGGTGAAAAGTTTATGTGGTTGTTATGTCTCCATATATCATTAACAATTGATCTTCGAAGAGTAGGGAAAATTAATACTCACATTTGTTTGATGTGCAAAGCTGAAGAAGAGACCATTTATTTTTAAAAATTATTCTTGTGCATAGGAGTTGTGGGGATGGGCCAGTGAGGTAGTGAAGGTTGAATTAATTGTCCCACAACCTGTGAAGGAGGTATTAATGTTGGGGAATATTTGGTTATATGAATGGAATTGGAAAGATGTATTTAAAAATGGGGAGAGAAGGAGGTATTAATGTTGGGGAATATTTGGTTATATGAATGGAATTGGAAAGATGTATTTAAAAATGGGGAGAAGTGCTGTAGTGTGGGAGATTTGGAGAGAAAAGAATAGACGGACTTTTGAAGGGCAAGCCAGAACCATGAAAAATTGCATGGAAAAGTGAGGGATGGGGTGTTTGAATGGGCTTCTATTTGTAAGGAATTTTGGGGACTGGCGAGAGTTGATTAAAAGCTCCGTTTTGAGACGGTCTTGAGACTCGGCCGAGGCCACTCAGACTCGGCCGAATAACTCAGCATTGCCCCATCGACAAGACAAGTTTTGGCCAAGTTAAGTGTATGCCCAAATTTTAAAGTTTATATAAAGGAAAAAGTTTATATAAGGATGCTACCTTATAATGTAGAACTACGGATGCCCCTCAAAAATCCAACAGAAAAAGTAGTTTTAATATTGAAAAACCCTTTGCTTGATCATCTCAACATCAAGATATATGACTATGAAAAATAAAAAGATTTTAATCTCAGAAATAGTGCATTTTACAACATATTATCTATACCGTCCATTTTCAAGATTTTCATATGTTTATATATCTACTTGATTTTAACCATTTTTTAAATTAAAAATTTTATAATTAGATATAAAAATAGATTTTTCGATAATCCAAAAAACGTTTTATATCAAAATTATGTACCATGATAAAATTTGAAGGTGCACCTTACATCCACACCTACGGATCTATCCGTATGCAAACTGCACCCTTATATAAATTACTGTCTATGTTAAGTCAAAAGTGGCATGACGGCTTTCTGGATAGTGCTCACGCATGTTGTAAGTCACAACTAGGGTTTGAAAGCCCCCTATTTTTAATACTGATTTGCAGTATAAGATGGAAGAGTTGTTCGAATTCGGAGGGAATTCAATGCATGTCATACAAAATGATGTAATAAATTGAACTGAGGACAATTCATTGAAGTCATTATTGCAAGGTCTCTAAATTTGGTAGATGGAGATAAAACTATGGTAAGGAAAATGGAGATAAAACTATGATCGGAGGGAATTGGGAAATGGAGATAAAACTATGGTAAGGTAAATGGAGATACACTATAATAAGAGGGAATTCAATGAATGTGATAAAATGATGTAATAAATGGACTATTGAGAGAGAGATTAAAAGACCTTTGTACAGGGAGAAAGAATAAGGAGGCTCGTTCTCTAGCAAGGTTAGGAATGTAAGCTCAAGAGTTTAATACTCTATGGTCTTTTTTTTGGTAAATTTGTGCAGTGTTTGAAGTAGAATGTAATAGAACTATTTCATGTACTACGTCAGTCTTTTCTTTTGTAAAGTTGTACAGTGTTTGAAGTAGACTGTAATAGAACTATTTGATGTACGTACAGTTTTGTACAATTTGTTAATTTTTGGTTCATATACGTAACCTTGAAAAGCAAAACATATATAGAGAGAGCGTGAAGAGAAAGAGGGGGGTTTAGAGTAGATGTCTTTTTTAAATTTATTTGGGCTTAAAAGATGAAGTAACTATGGGTAAAGTTAGTATAGAGGGTTAGAAAAATATAATCCATAGAATCTCTATGGTACAAGATAAGTTTTGAAATCTTAAGTCTATGGAGAAATGAAACCTACAAATAAAGTCTACAGAGATGTTTCCCCTTTTTTAACAAAAAAAACTTTGAAGGGTTTATGAGCTTTTTATAGACCTAGAGGGAAGAGAGAGTATACGTCTTCTTCCCAGAAATTTTGTTCTCCATAGATCTTATTACATGGAATATAAAGGCTAAAGTCTATGTTAGGATTTAAGAACCCTTTTAGATGTAGAAACAAGAATATAAAAAAAATTAGA